CGGGCTCGGGGCACCGTCCCCCCGCCCGGGCAGCAGGTCTCTGCTCCCGTCCTGCAGGGCTGGGGCGCCCGGCACCCTCCTCCTGGTCACCCTTCTGCCCATGCACCCTGCTCTCCGTGCACCCTCCTGACCTGACACTCTCCTGCCCTGGCACCCCCGTCCTGGTCACCCTCCTGCCCGTGTACCCTCCTCCCGTGCACCCTTCTCTTTGTGCACCCTCAGCCCAGACACCCTCCTTCGCATGCACCTTCCTCTCCATGTACCCCTCCTGCCTGTGCACCCTCCTTCCAGGTACTTTCTGCCCAGGCAGCTTTCTGCCCCTGCACCCTCAGCTCAGGCTCCCTCAGCCTGCGCACCCTCCTTCCTGCTCATCCTCCTCCGAGGCACCCTCTTGCCGGACACCCTCCTCCCCAGCTGCACACTCAGCCCATTCACCTCCTCCCCGGTCACACATCCCCACTGGCTGGCTTTGAAGCTGCTATTTTTGTTGCAAGGGAAATTGAGGCAGGGAGAGGCTAGTTCAGGCTAGCACTCCATGGCCCCAGCACCCCCAGGCTCTCTCTTCCCTCCCAGCGGTCAGTTCCTCTCATCCCCACCAAGGGATGAAGGCTGGCAATTCACTCACCTCTCCCTGAAGAACGGACTGGCCACCCAACACAACCCCATTCTGTGTTGTGAGGTGTTCCAAGGACATACTTGGAGTGACGGTGGAGACAAGGAGGTGGGGATCGCTGTGGCAAGTCTGTTGCCAATCGGAGCTGGGTTTTGCTTTCCACCTAAGTCATTTGACCTGTCTCTGCTTGGCAAAGCACAAGTCACGACCATCACTTAACCATGCATTTTGTTCATTCTCTCTACACGAAGAGCTTGCTTTTGGTTGCCAGTTAGAAATGGGAACAATTTCAAAAAAACTAGCACTCATTTTTAGAGCTCCGAATACTGTCAGGATTGCTGGTTAGCTTGGATTTGGGAGCTTAAATATGCTTCAGAAAGAAACCCCAAAGCTGGAGAAATGCATTGCAATTGCCTTATGTACTCGACATGCTTTGGAAAGAGCCTTCATGAGAAATGTTTGTGGACTAAACAGCTATGTAAATAGATACACACTGAGATTGTTACAAACCGCAAGTTATTGGTTGTTTGTGTTCCAGAAACACAAAGGCCTCAGCCAAGTCGGGGGCCCCGTTGTGCAGTCCTCTCCATGTTAGTTAACTCAAAGAGCCTGATAGCAACAGGGAATACGCCCACTTTCTCCATTTTACCAGGGATGGACCTGAGGCAAAAAATTCAGTAACATGCCAAAGGACATAGAGAGTTGTCAGCAGAGTCAAAAGCCTGAGCATCAGCATCTTCTACTCCACATCATGCTATACAGAGGGACAGCAAAAGGGTTATGAAATGTCGCGTGTATGTTTGCCCAATTGCATTTTTTTAAGCTTAGTTTCCTAGGGAAACAGTCCTACATCTCAGTCTATCTGGACAATCTTTTTCCCAGCAACCTCCCCGCCCCCCCAATAACACTTCAATCCATCAGCCATTCTCATCCAAATTTGAAAAAGGGATTAAGGTCTTAGATAATTTAGCTCCTGCAAGTTTGGGGCAGAGAGGCAGCAAGGAAGCCCAAAGAAACTTGCTTTGAATGGAGGTGAGAAAACTCAGCTGAGCCAGCAGCTGGCTGATCGGCACCCACACACGCCCCTGCTTGCCACCTCGCTTCTTATCTGGAAAGGATTCCTTGAGAGAGCTGAAGGGAGCCAGGGGTTATAGGGATGATGAGACAGAAAACCAGATCTGTAGGAAACTAGACTTCAGAAGGTCTGCTGTTCATGGAACAGTCTTTTTCATAAAATCTAAGCATGCAGTGAGCTGTGCTTAAACAGAGTCCTACTACAGTGCTTCAGCATTGCTTTGGTATGGCAACGGTTGAGGCACAGAACGAATCTTTAAAGAAGTACTTTTGATTAGGGATTTAACCAACAGGTTAATTCATAGAAATCAAAGTTGACTTGAAATGTATTCTTTGTTGTGAATCCTAGACATCTAGGTATAGCCTTGGTTATCTTAAGAATCAATTTTTTTTAAATTTACCTCTTCCTCCTTCCCCAACTCCCTCCTCCCTAAAAAAAAAAAAAAAAAAAAAAAAACAGAAAGAAATAATGACTGTTTGAGCAATCGGTCCTCTAAAGGAACAATAGCCTAATTGACAGAAAATTACCACAGCCTGCTGGAACTATTACAAAGACAACATGAGAAGAGGTATGTCAAACCTACACAATGTAACTTGTCCCAAAATTAATATTTTTGGTTGCCAGCCAGGAGAGTTTAAAGTGGAAAACTCTTGCCAAACAGGTTACAGCCTGTGATTAGGCAGGCAATTCAGAGAACCCTGTTCCCCTTTCAACACCAACATTAATCACAGCATTGGGACTGCAATCCTGTTTCATTTTTGTCTTTTCTTCTCTGCCCCATGTGTTGCAGATGAAGGCTAAGCAGAAGGTTTTTTTTCATTTCTCTTTCACCAGAGCCTGAAGAGACCTATTCTGTTTTTGCTAAATCTTGAGATTGCAAGTATCCAGTTTTGCTCCCAACCCATTCAAGCCCATTTGCACCAACTAAAAAGGCCTCGCATAGCAGATCTTCTTGATCTAGGATCTCAGTTCCAGCTATGTCTCAAAAGACATCAAAGTTTAACTCCCTATATGCATAGTTAATGCTGTTCTTCTACCAAGAACAAACAGCACCTCTGCTAGAAGATAATCTCTCCATACACTTACGTAAATTTCTATTAATTAAGACAAACAAGCTTTTTCATGTAATTAGACAGTTGTGGTTTTGAGCATATGAATGCAGAATTTTTAGCATAATTGTGAAACTGAAGGGAATGACAGTCAACACAGGGACCAAGGCTCTCCTGTGTCCAAAGGTACTGATGAGCCAGACAGGCATTGCAGACTTGTGTGACTTCTCTTTAACACAGCCAGCCTCTGGACCTTGGAGCAAGCACTCCAGACCTCACCTTTGAAACAAATAAAGCTTATGGGCCCTTTTTCTTGCAACAAACTGGAAAATGGAAACCAACAAATGAAAACTAAATTACTGCAGCTCTTTGAAATGAGTACGTGGGTTCTCCGCCAATCAAGGGAAGTTGGTGGAAAGCCACCAGAAAAGTGGTACACCCATGTGAGTGCACATGTACGCACATGTATAACACATGCCACGCTTTCCAGTCTAGAGGAACCCAAAACGTTGTGTTATAGCTAAAGGACAACGTGGTTTACCCCCTAAAGCTTTCAACCAGCTCTGTATATGGTGACCGTGCTACAAACGTTTCCCTGTTTTGCAGAGGCACCAAAGAAACTTTATATTCTCTGCTGCTTGCTCAGACTTTCAGCCTTCTCTGGGCAGGTTCCTGCTTCCTGTCTCAGTGCGCTGCTGCTCACACAGCAGGGACCGCTCTCCTGCTCCCCAGCTGGTGCTGCAAGGATGCAGGTATCACTTTCACGTCAGGTGAAGAAGCGACAGTGCAGCCCAGCTGTTACTCATCGGAGGTGCTTTGCAGTCCTGCATCGTTGCCCAGCCTCAGCTTAGCATTCCTAGAGTCCAGATGGTGTGAAGCAACCTGAAACTCATATCCAGCTCTCTTTTAAAAATCACCAGCTCACCATCAGGTGAGGGATCCTTCTCTGGGAGCATCCCATTAAAATGCTGGCAGCACAGCACAGCACTCATAGTGTTGGAGATAAGGTGGTGGTGACACTGCAGGAACCACTAGTTTGTCTGCTCTTTGACTTCCTTCCTTGTGGTTCTGTGTCTGAGTTGGAAGACTGCAAGAATTGGTAAACGTACCAGTGCATACTTTAAATGACCACATAACTGTGCTCCTAATTTGTACGTGCAAATACTTTCCATGCAAATTAGGCAGTTTGACACATGCACATTCATTATAGAGATGTATGCTTACAGTTAACTTACCTGCATATTAACTGTATGTGGAAAACAGACACACAGCCATGCACCTGTTCTGCATGTCCACTCTGGTTCTCAATAGTTCCCCAGTGGCAATCTCTGGGTGGGAACTTTTGTCCTTACTGTTTTATGCGCTTTGAAATGGCAAGCAGAGGAAGCTGTTTTCAAGGGACCTAGGACAAGAGGATATGCAGCCGAGGCCAGAGTTGCCAGCTGCTGAATTCTCTGTACTTCTCTTCCTTCTCTGGCCATTATTTGCATTGATGGCATTTGCATTTACTGAAAAATCATTCCTCAGGGTATCAAAGGGACCTGGCAGAGTATCTGGTTTTTGAGTCAAAGGAGGGATTCTGCTGTCCAGCAAAAAAATAGCGAGTTTGCTGCTGATAGCTGTAAGGAAGCAACTATCAGTTGATAGTTATAATGACAGACATCGACCCAGGATAGGGAATACCCTGCTCAAAAGTGGAAGTTCCTCAATGCCAGGAGCCTGAAGTAATTCAAGGGGGGGAAAAGATGAAAGAAACAGATGTGATGGTGTGATGGAGAGTTAATTCTGACCCAGCTCTGCTGTGGAACAGGTGTCTGAGAGATGCTCCAACTACAGAATCATTAAAAGAAAATGCCAGTGTTCTGCATTCTATTTGCAGATAGATATTCTAATTGCTACATCTAATTATGAAGAAGAGTAAATCACCATGAAAAAAAAATCTATTAGAGTATAAACACATAATTGACAATCAAACTGAGAGCTGTTATCCATCTTCATGGCTGCTGCTGTGTATGAAAAGATATTATTTGTATTTATGAAGTAGAAGAGTGATTCTGGAGTTACCATAAATTTCTATCTGATAAAAATTAATTTAAATATGTACCTAAACTTGATCCAAAATCAAAACTGTGTCAGATATATTTTCTCAAACTGAAGACCAGTCAGACTTTGCATTATCAAACTGGATTTTGCTAAGGCCGTTGGATAGAGGTTTGTAATAGCGCTTTGTGAAAATAAACATCTGGTACTAGTCTAACTAAAGAATTTTTAGTTAGCTATTGACTTCCTCAAAGACACAAAAGTCCAGACCACCTGCCATGACCACGGACAAGTCTAACTAAATGAGGGTCCCTAAGGAGATGGCATGAACTGTGCACCTTGCTGCTAAAGCTCAAATTTTCATCCCCTCATTTGTATCTCCCTCTTACAAGCCTGCAAAGTAAAACGGGGTCATGCACTACCCATTTTGACTAAAGGGACTCAGAATATGGCCCCTGTTACTCTGCAGGACATGCTTGCTTACTAGGGCACAGCTATACCTCTGCAGGGACAGACACCTTCAATCAGACCTGACCTGGTGGCTTTCCCACCAAGCGGCCCTTGGGCCTCTACCACGGTGTGGCTGAGGTTGCTTACTAAATTAAATTACTCCCCAAAACAGTTCTCTAAAACTTTAGAGAAAAGCTCAGAGTGAAGCTCCATAATAAAATGGTTGTGCTGGCAGCCTGGCGACAGCAGCTTTTAGAGTGAGCCATAGCCATACAGGTTCCTTTATGGGCTCTGCTGCTCGGAGAGTGAATTAAATAGCCCTTTCAGTCCATGATGGTTGCTCTAATGGCTGAGACAGTTTTTGGCTTCTACCTTTTGAATAGAAAGCTCTGTGGATGTGCTACACACATCCGCAGGCTGCTCCAGCTATATAAAAATGCTATTA